TTTTTTGCCGCCTTTTGGAATTCTCTGGCACCAGTGCGACTTCACAACTGGTTGATGAACTACTAGAGACTGGAGAGAACCTTTGCACACACAGCTTTGCGCACCACGTGATTCAATCCATTTTGGAGCATGGCGAAGAAAGGCACAAGCATCTCATTGCCAAGATGTTGACTTCGGAGCTCTGGACACATGCGACCCACAAGAACTCCAGCTACCTCATAGAGAAAGCGCTTTGCTACTGTAGCCAGCAGGATCAAGAAGTCCTGGTGGGGAAACTGGGTCATCCTGAGGCTGGGGACTGCAGGGGTGCTTGCAAACATAAGGGGGATTCATCGAGGGTCTCCCCAGACCAAGGGAAGGGACGTTTATCAACTTCAATTTTTATGTGGGTACTTCCGCGACATAAAGTTGAATCGAAAGAGCCTTGCTTGGCTTTGGATGCTTCATGATGCTTCTGTCAGGCTTTGCTGGATTTGGCCTTGAACCAGTATGGGAGCTTCGTTGCTCGATCCTTGCTGCAGGATAGCCGAGTAGACGCGGAGGCAGCGTTAGGTCATTTGCAAGTTCGCCAAGCAGATGTGGAAGCCACCAAGCACGGGTCGCTTGTAATCTTGTAGACTGAAAGTTTGGGCTGAGGAAACACAGGAGTCTTTTTGACTCAAGGCGCTAAAGAATCTAGTTTTAGATAGGTGCTAGTGCTGAAACTCTGCGGCTGTCCAGCTGTGCGATCTCAGGCATCGCTTCCTCGTGGATGTGGGTGTGGTGTCTTGAGCAGTGACCGATTTGATGCGGACTGGCGGACTGGCCCAAACTTGTGGGCCTGGGGTACAGATCGGCCCACAGGTTTGACATGGATTGAATATTCTAGTTGAAAACACATCGAGACATGGAGTTGCTAGATGATGTAGCATGTATCATGTATGATCATGTATGTTAATTTTTTAAATTCCAAACTGCTGAGTCAGTTCAACTGTACAGTGCATGCACAAAGACGGGGTGACCAAGAAAAATCAACGCAGCTTCTTGGGCGGGGGGGGGCCAGTTCACCCCTCACGCGACGGCAGTCGATGATTTCGATGGCTGAATCAGGATCCTTTAAGCTGGGGGGTTTTGGATTTCATGGTTCTGGTCAGCCATCAACTCAGCCGATGAGACCTGGTCTAGTTGCTGCTTTGCTTGGTGTTTTGAGCTCAAATCAAGCTGGATATAGCTATAGATAGTTTTTTTCGGCCGGTGCTACACGGTCCCGTGGGTTTTTCATGTTCTCGATGTCGATGCCTGGAATGGCTGGGGCAGAGCAAGGCTTGTCTCACATGCAGCAGGTCATCTATTGGGTTCCCAAGAGCTCAGTTTCTGGCAATGCGACATGGTCGCCACAGATCCTTCCTGGTCCTTTCCACACAGAGACCCCGCAGATGGAGATGCCCACGGTAGGGCCTACAGTAGGGCCTACAGTGTCGGCAGTGGCAGCGCAAGATGCTCAAAGGTCTGAGGTGCTGCTGCAGACTCCGGTCGAAGCCAGCTGCACTTTGGTGACTCCTTGCAGCACGGAAGTATTTGGGCAACAAAAATAGAAGCTTTGCTGGTCTAGAGACAGGGTCATGTAGAGACTGTAGAGATGTCTAGACTCTACACTCTAGACTAGAGTTAACCAAGTTATTTATATATATATATATGTTTTTTTTTTCAATGTTGCGGGCATTGGTTTGGTCTTTTTAGGCCCCAGATGACGACCTGGCATCCGCACCTCGCATGAGCTCCAGTGCTGCAAGACGCCTTCGCCGCAAGCGTGCGCTGGAGAGATCCAGAGGGGTGCATGAGCACGGTCATGTTAGACAAGATGGAGCGGTAGAACGATCGGAGAGAAGTTCATGCGACCTCACCATCGATGAACTTCGAGTTGAACTGCGCCGAAACACTGCACGTGGCATGCAGCGTTTGCGTGGACAGGTGTGGCGCCTGTCACGCGATGCAGCTGGCTGTCGACTGGTGCAAGAAGCACTTGAGTTGGGCGGTCGAGAAGCTGTAGATTTGGCGCATGAGCTGCAGGGCCATGTCCTAGAAGCGGTGACCTGTCCACATGCAAACTACGTGGTGCAAAAAGTTGTGTCACATTTGTCGGTGGCTGCCAGCAGCTTCGTTGTCAGAGAGCTCCAAGGAAACGCAGTGCGTGTAGCCAAGCATCGCTTTGCTTGTCGCATTTTTTGCCGCCTTTTGGAATTCTCTGGCACCAGTGCGACTTCACAACTGGTTGATGAACTACTAGAGACTGGAGAGAACCTTTGCACACACAGCTTTGCGCACCACGTGATTCAATCC